GTCCCTGGGAGGGTCCCGGGCCCCAAAACAAAAAAAAAAAAAACAAAACCCCCAAAAAAAAAAAAAAAAAAAAAAAAAGGGGGCACTGGATTCCATATGGCTGGTTGTGTGGTTCAAGTCCTGGACCTGGCAGCTTGAAAAACATGCCAAGTGACTGTGGTGTGCCATCCTCCCAGGAGGGTGATTCTCACTTTCTCTCTCTCTCTCTCTCAATCTAGCAAGTTGCATGCACCCTGTTTCAATCCTGATTACCATCTCCATTCAGGACTCTTACAAAATCTGTGGTCTTTGCTATACCACATGCTCTAATCAAAGAGTATTATTTGCACTGAGTGCAAAGAGGTCTTATGTCACTTGTAAAGTAACTTTAGTGCTGATCAAATCTATCTCCCCCCCAAAATAGGTTAATATTTAACATTAAATATTCAACCAAAATATATTTATTGAGTATCTCCTATGTATCATCACTGAAGAGAATCTGTAGAAACAGAATTTAAAAAGCAAAGGTTTTAATGATCACAACACCCTATTTCATGTCTTTGTTCCCTTTAATAGTCTTGACTAGACTTCATTCAAACTATAAAAATCCATTTCCAAAATTCAAAGAATTAGTCAACAGTAGTATACTTCTCCCCCAAAGATCCCCTTATACAGTGAACCCCTCCATGAACAAAGAAATACAGTAATTCCCATTATTGGGAGGTAGTATTTACATCACACCTGTGAAGGACAGTAGCTCTTCAATCTGAGCTTAAAAAGTAAATACAGTTGATTTTGGGCGTGGTGGCGACCGCCCTATGGCAAAAGTAAATACAGTTGATTTCTAACTAATTAGCAATCTAAGAAGCAGAAATAATTATATTTTGTTTTATTCAAATGCTTAATAAAATTTAGAGGAAAAATATGGTTAAGTCACAGTGGTACATGCTAGACTTTCCTACTTGGCAAACTGAGGCCACATGTAAGGCCTGGGTTCAATTTCTGGGTGCAGTGGGCCATGCCTGTACTCCCAGAAACTGAGATAGGAAGTTCATGACATAGCACCCTGTCTTTAAAAAACAAAAACAAAAAAACCAACCTCCCCTAAACATAGACACACACACTCATGCACACATGAGAAGGGAAAATAAATGCAATACAAACTTTAAGCCACTTCCAGAGCCTGATCTGAACCTGAAAAATGGTCTCTCCACTTGAGAAGCTCAGCTTTGATTGTTACATGCGAGTTACATGTGAGTTAATTTTTCTCTCCACCACTATAGGGATCCTAACTGCAGAAAAAAAAGAGTCAAGGCAATCACAGCTTCAGGGACCATTCAGAGAGACAGAAGGTAAACTCTGTTAAAAGATTCTCTTTAAAATACTGAAGCCATAATACATCACAAAGTGTACAAAGAAAACACACTTGGACACTATGTATTCCTTTTACTCCACCAATCAATCAGTTCCACCAAAAAATGTAAAACACGCTGAGCCACACAATATTTTTCACCTGAAAAGTCCTAAGGACACAGCAGCTTACTCTCGCAAATTACTGACAAATATGGAAGCTTAATTGTGACTTAAAAATACAGTTATAGAAAAAATAGACTGTTCTAGGTGGGAAAAGAAGGGGAGCGGGACCCAAACACTTTTTTTTTTTAAGGCAACAAGTATATATAGGAACAAGATCTGCATCAGAAACATTGCTTTCTTTTGTTCTTTTTTCTTTTGGTAAAATTTTAAAACTTACCCTGGAGAGATTTTCCCAATCCCTGGCCCAGCTTCCACCCATGTTTCTGGAGTAAGCGGTGTCCAATATTATCCTGACAGACAGAACAGAGAGACAAACCAAAAATATTCCAATAATAAATTCTTCCCTTCCTAGTGGTATTTAAACAGGTGATAAGCAAGAGATAATTCTACATATATGCATGCAAAAAGGTGCTAATAATAGGATAAATGTGTCCAATAAAAGGGACATTAATGTAAAAAAATGCTAGCTAGAATTTTATGGGATAGGGGTCCTTTCTGATGGTGTGCTGGGCAACTTTTATAATAACGCTTTATAAAGAAAAGGGAAAAGGGAAGGGGTAGAATACCTCTAGGAAGTTTTAAAACTAACATTAAAAAAGCATAAAATCAAGGTACTTATACAATCATATCCACCACCTAGACAGCACCATTTTAAGATTTTTTTTTTTTTTTTTAGAAAATCTACATTGTGCTTAGTTATTTTGCTATGTGTCAGACTTTCATGATACAAAGTAAGTCGTAAGTGTAAGACTGCCCCACCACTAGAAATGAAAAAACAATCAGAGCAAAATCCAAGCTAGACTTGATTGGTTTTTTTAATAAATATGTATATAATATAAATATTTTACTAGCATGCAGCCAATATTAAACTGAAAAAACAGTGAGGTTAGTAAAACAAGAAATTAAATTGATTAAACAGAAAAATAAAATGAGCTCAAGCACAGACTGAGTGATGCATTTCAACATATAAACTAACAAAAATGCTAAGATGTTAGAATGAAACAGGCCTAGCAGTTAAGTTAACAGTATAGAACCATTAGTGCATGTAGGGAGGAAAAAACAACATACATAATGTCTCATCTTCCTAGGAACATCTTCCTAACTGGAAAACATATTTAAATTAAATTGTATGAAATGACACCAGAAACAACAATTAAATGTCAGCTTTTTTTGTAAGAAGTCAAGATACCAAAAATTTGTGCAACCTTTTGTCCTATTTGCTTTTTACAGTTACTATGAAGTACCAAGATAATGCTAAAAAGAATCAATAATTGTACCATAAAAAAAAAAGATGCTACTCATCCCAAGGAAAATATTTAAAAATTATAAACACAATTTATAGAAGCTAAATGTTCTATGTCTACTAAAATGTAACTTAAAGTGTTAACCTGGTATCCCCATTTACAAATCTCATGTTTCCTAAAATCAATTTATAAATAAAACCACATATCTATGCATTAAAAACAAATCCCACATTAAACTATTTATCTTCCAGTTCCATATTTGATGATAAAATGCTCTCCAGAGTTATAAAGAAAAGAAAAATATTATTTTACTGTAATCTTCTCTGCCAAGTTAGAAGAAAATAAAGCCTCCCAATGCTGCTTGTTTGTTTTTAAGGACCATTTCCTCCTTTGAGGACAAGTCTATGACAGCATGAAAATTGGAAAATTGGGCTGAGCAGCTGAATATTTCATTGATGGGAGAAAAGACTAGAATACTTTGTTAAAAACTGAAATAATGCAGGCAAACTATAATGAAAAAACTGTTTCTAAAATAAAAGATATTGGGGCTGGCAGGTGGTGTGGCTAAAGGTGCTGGACTCCCACATGACCAAATGTGGTTCGAGTCCTGGACGTAGTGGCTTGCTTTCTCACTCCCTTCCCCAACTCTGTCCCTCTCTGACCAAATTAAAATAAGTGAATGAATATGGTTAAATAATTCTTAAAAAATTTTAAAAAGATACTTTTTATTAAAAAATTTGCTATCGGGCATGAGCACTCACCTGAAAGACACAAAAAGAGAGAAAGTGAGAAAGCAGCCCTCTAGAGAGATGACGACACCACCATCCCTTATTCAATCTCCTCTCAGGATTCTGGGCACACATGGACACGTGCCCTAAGCTTTTTTCAAACCACTGGTCCAGGACTCGAACTGCACAGTTCAGCCCTATTGGATCTTTAACTTATGCCACCTTGCCGGCCTGATTCTATTGTTTTAAATAAGTAAATGTGTGTGTGTGTGTGTGTGAGTGTGTGTGTGTGTGTGTGTGTGTGTGTGTGTGCGCGCGCGCGCACGCACGCGCCTCTGTGTGTACATAAATAAATAAATAACTGTGATGTGCTCAAGAGGTTACTGAAATCATTTTTACTAAGAATCAAAAAAAAATTAGAAAATACTGTGGTATATGTAGCCCCAAATGATGACTTCCACATTATTAGAAGACATTACGAACACTTAATTCAACACTGCTACAGTTTCTTCCCTTCTCCCCTCCCAACTAAATTGCCAGGAAAACCATCCCTTTACACAGTACTGAGTGTCTAAATATACAGCCATGTGTCACGCACCATTAGGCAATTTTAGGCAATTTTGTCATAGTGCAAATATCTGAGTGAACATACACAAACTTAGATGTCAAGATGCCATAACCTACTACACACCTAGGCTATATGATGTAGCCTACTGTCACCACTGTTGTCTATTGTTGACCAAAATATCACTGTGGCACATGACTGTATAAATAACTTCATTACTAAAAAAAATTAAAGTATCAGAATAAGTAATGTTAACAGAAAATGGAAAGGTAAAGAAGCCCTTACTTTACTACTATGAAAACAAACTTACCTGTATATAAAATCCTTATTTCATAATTCCTACAACTGAGTTACTGGAAAGAACAAGGATAGCAGAATGACTCTAAAAGTATGGATTAACTCAATTATTGTTTAATCTCTCAATAGACTAATGTAACTATGCTTGACACCAAGACTTAGACATTAAACAATGCTGACAAAAATTGTTGCCCATCCCTTTTTAAAATTTGTTTGTATTTTGTAAAGAAAACAATCTTTGGTTACATGGAGATGAGACATTATGCTGACTGTGTTATATTATGAATGCACTAAAATAAACAGACAGATGAAGCAGTATGCTATTTCCAAAAGCAGTGCAAGTGGAGTGAAAGCATTTCCATACGAACCTGGCTTTAAAAACTGGGCTGTCAAAAGAACAGTTAAATGTAACACAAAGTAAGAAACTGTCCAATCACTAATGGTCGTTTTTTTTTTTTTTTGTCTTGTTTTCAATTCACTGCTTGCAAGTTATGTATTTATTAAAGAGGAGTGAAAGCATTAAGTAAATTCACGAGTCAAGACCAACTGAGAGATTCAAGAGCAGCATGTTGTGACTGACAACAGTGAAAGGAAAAGCAAATGTTAAAGGGAAAGGGGGAAAAAGAAAAATTTAGGGATATACACATCAGCACCACTTTCACAAAACCACTCAAGAGGATGGCTGTCACCTTCTAAGAAAAAGCTATTGATACAAAATAGTTGTGAAATTTCTCTTAAAATTTTCAGTTAAAACTGTTCTTTAAGTAAAGCCATATTCCCAAGTATGAATAGGGAATGAAACATTTTAGATATTTAACATGCCACTCTAAATCCTTCCAATTATAATAAAGGTAACAGAAACAACAAACATATCCCCCAGAACCTCTTTCACTCACTAACTTCAGAGTAAATTAATAATACAAAAAATCTGGACCTTTCCTTTCATTTCAGACTATGCTTTTAGAGGAGAAAGGCAGCTCTGGGACTCTGAACAGAGGGCCATTCCATACCATTCAGTATGGTCTCCTTTTCCTATCATAAAAAAAAAAAAAAAAAAAAGCTTAACCACTCATCAAAAATTCAATAGGCCTAATGATGATGGTAACAGGAAGATATGCCAAAATACCTTATAACAAAGCAGACTTGTCCATCTCCAAAATGATCAAAACTTTCACTGTAAAATAACAGGGGACTCAATCAGACTGTAGAAAATAATTTATTCTCTGTTTAAGGTTATAATTCTGCCAATTATTCCCATAGATGCCACTTATAACAATAAATTGGTACAAGTAACTTATAGCTCAAACAAGTAATCTAGGCAAAACATGGCAACGCTCACTAAATTTACTTCTAAAATGTCATAATTAGGCTAATTCAGTGGCCTGGTAGTTAAAAGCTGAATCCCATGGGGCTGGCAGGTGGTGCAGTGGTTAAGATGCTGGACTCCCACATGGCCAGCTCTGGCCTGAGTTCCAGACTTGGTAGCTTGCTTTCTCACTTTCCCTTTCTCTCTCCTAAGTACTCTCTTATCAAACTGATGATGATGATGATAAATAAGATTAAATAATTCTTAAAAAAAAAAAAAAAAAAAGCTGGATCCACATGACCAACCATGTAGTTCCAGTCCTGCCCCCAGCACCTTAAAAAACATTCCCAGGAAAGTATGTATGTGTACCCAAAGTCTCAACAAGGGGAAAAGTGGAGAAGGGAACTGCAGCATGGCCATACCCCTACATTGAGAGTGCTTTCTATCCCTTCCTCTCTATCTCTGGTGAACACATTCACCCTCTGGCAACTTAAAAAATAAAATATAATGATTAAAAAAATAGCAAAAGATAAAATAGCAACTACTATTTCAGATACTGTAATTGTGACTAAGAAAATACTTCTTCTTTTGCTTCTTAAATGGGGTTCGATTATAATCTCACAGAACCAAAAATAAATGATAGAAAATGTTTCCTTTTTAAAACAATCTGGTTTACAACTAACAAAGATATATGACAGTGGTAGGATACTTAAATATACTTGGAAAAATTAAAAGAAAATTATTTTCTTTTTTTTAAATTTTGTCAGAGGGCACATGTGCTTGCCAGAGAGAAACAGAGAGAGAAAATGAGAAAGTGTCCCCATGGAGCATGGTTATGCAGCAATCCCCATCTCCTTTGTTTCTCCCTTTCAGGATTTTGGGCAGGCAGGAATAACACATGCCCAGTGTGTTTCTCAAAGTCCTTTATCTAGGGTTCAAACTGTATAGTTGGCCATGTAAGATCCAGCCACTTTAACCACCATATCACAGGCTGGCACAAAGGAAATCCTAGTTTTAAATTAATTAATAAGGTAGCTGGGACCAGAAGATGGTATAATGGTTACGTTGCTGACTCTCACATGGTCGACTGTGGGCAACCGAAGCTTAAGTCCCTGATCTAGCAGCTTAAATTTACACCAGGCATATGTGT